TATGCAGGTGTATGCAAAGGAGGGTAGTAAAGTCAAATTGGTTTGTAGAAGAAGGAAGAGCAGGGTGATAGAAATAGGAAAGAAGGTAACTCAGCTTCCAGCACCAAAATGTGTCAGAGAATTAGAGTAACATCTTCCTGCTCTTGCTGTCATTCTCACTATTAGAGAGGCATTAAGGATTGAAGTACCTCATCACACAGACCTGTGATTTATCTACCATAGATGAATATCACCATAAATGATCGGCTATGTATGGCCATAATTTAGTTTTATAGAAAATGTTATAACTTCATCGGATAGTATCATATAGACCAAATTAACAAAATTGAATAGTGTCATGTGATTTATGGAGAGGAAATTAGAGAAGGTATAGCCTGATTAAAAGTTTATTAGAAACATTATGGCTTATAATGCAGAATTAAATTCAGGGACTTAATAGGGAAGAAATTGAGGCTAAGTTCCAGATGGGCAATTAAGGTAAACAAAAGTGGAAGCACATTAGTGTAGAACAGGGCATCCAAATTTTCATGAATTCATTGAGGAGCTTCTGGAAAATGGACATACTCATTCAGCACATGTGGAATTCTGCCTTTCTCAGGAGTACTCAGGTGGTGTTGGTGCTGTTCCTTGGACACAGTTCTGAATAACAAGGAAATAGCCTTCCTTTAGAGGAATCTGGAAAAAGAACCATTGGACAACAATTAAAAATAACAGAATCAAGGGAAGGCAGGAAGGCATTAATCTCCTTTTATTTCTGAAGTAGGATTCTAGCCACAGAGGAAGCAGAATGAGATGAAAAAAGAAATTATTGGTGTCTACTACTGCTGAATACAGATGAAAAAAGTGGTCACAATTATTCATAAAAAGCAGTTAGGAAGAGAAGCATCAGGATGATGGATCTAAAGATTACTTTTGCAAAGGAAGAAGGATTGTGAAAGGGGAAGGAGGAGGGAAGAAAAAAAAGTTTGTTGGGGGACTTTGGGGTTAAAACCAAGGAAGCTTGAGACACCTCACTTCCAGTTCCTTGGGCATATGCCCAGTTTAGCAAAAGCAGTTATTTCTGTGGAGCGTACTGGAGGCAGGAGAGAGTGCTAGAATTGGGATAAACAACAGCTAATTTCTCTTCATAACTGTCAGGCCTCAGAGCAAGAAGTTTCATTGACATGGTGAATAAGATGTGATTAAGTTGCATTTTGGCTAATTTTTTGGGGGATTCAGCCAGTTCTTTGATATGTCATCTTACTCTGTAAATGACCTTAAAAGTCATTTACAGAGTAAGATGACATGCCAAACTTAGCTAATTTTAGAAGCAGTCATATTATAAAATTTATTCTGTGACTACCAAAATTGTCATTTTCTAAGAATACTGTACTGATTTTGAAATATAAAAGTTTATTCTTTTCTATCAAGACTGTGGCAATTCAATGTTTTCTTTTTTGATAAGTATTTTGATATTATAAGCTTATTCTATATGGTTTATTTGATGTGTTTTAAGTCTTGCATGAGTGGATCAAGGAACTCTTAAGAAAAGGTCAAATGAGAGGATATGAGAAATGTAAGTGCTTCAGTAGCCACGTGGGCATGGGAAAATGAGAATTTTGAGAAACCGTTATTTCCTAAGTGTGTATCATAGCTGATCAATTTAAAACACTTTCTTTGATGAGAGGTGAATCACACGTTCACCTGAACTAGCATCCCAACTGTGTATTTCCTAAGTGACAGGACAAGGGGAAGCACATGATAAATATTTGTGGTCTGGCGCCAATGCCTCTGTTGTTTCGAGTTTAAATACTCTGTAGTGTTCACTATCAGCTTTGACATTGATGCTCTCAGGGTTTGTTTTGCTCCACTGTTTAATAGTCCCTTTTATCCTTATCAGCCCAACGTGTTCACATTAATATCCATACTTTTCTATTTTAGTTATAGGCATTTGAAACAATCTCACTTTTGAAATATAATCTTTGTGATTTAGAGATCCTATGTTCCTATTTTACTCGTATACTTCCATCACATTGTTATCCTAGGCAATGAAAAGGAGATGCCAAAAAGAACCCTCAAAACCTTAAGTAATTGTTTTCAGAGCAAGGCATGAGGACTCAGCTTGATACTAACACTACATGAATGTTTGGTTGGCCCTGTCACACCTACATATAATTGATGACATGTCCCCTTTGCTTTGTAGGGTCTCCTGAACAACATCCTTCCTTGAAGGTATATATATTTATTTTTATTTACTAACTTTATATTGTATAAAATGTATATGATTTATTAGTTATTTTCTTTTAAAACCCATTCAGCCTACCACTGAAATGGAAGATCCTGTTGTGAGAGAAGCAGTACAAAGAAAGAATGTACAGGCATCAAGAGCAGGTACATTTTCAATACAAATGGAATGCTGGAAATAAGTACCTTAAATGATTGGAAGTACTCACATTCTTCTTACCCCTAATTCTTTTTATTCTAAATTGAATGGAAGGCATTGACATAAATATTATTGTTGGTATCCATATTTCAATAAAAATAAATTTAGAAGCATAAGAAAACAAGATTTTAAAAATATGAGTTTTAACTCAGATGTTTCTATTTTAATGTTTTGAATAGCAAAACATTTCCAATATGGAATTTTTGTACTTGTCAGGGATTCAAAGCAGTGAATCCCTGCTTTGAGACTCTGAGATATTTCCAGTGTCTTATGTGCTAGTTGGAGTTCTGATATTTACCTAAAGGAATGCTTTACCTAGATGTCAGTTTCTGTATTAACTTTAAAGACTTCCTGTCAATGTTATTACACCAATGATCTGAAGCCAATGAGATGTTCTAATGAGAAGACTGTGTATGCACGTGTGTGTATGGGTGTGTGTACGGGTGTGTTTGTGGCGTCTTTGATTATATTGAAAACTAGGAAAGTAATCATTCATTTGTAACTGGAGGACAGTCTTTTAAAATGATGGTTTTGAGACTTTTTGGTATAAAAGTTTTTTAAAAAAATAATTGCATAGAGGTGACCAACATCATGAACGTCATTGAGGCTGCCAACATCATTGGCTGTTTTCCATTTCAATACCCTTTTGAAATCCTTAACTATATTGTGATGCTCAGAAATAATATGCAGAATTTTTATTTTGTCCTAAAATGGAAGATGAGTGGTTCTACACTTTACATATCTTTCTGCCACTTTTTTTTGTGTATTTTGCATTCTATTTTCCAGATGTATTGACATTGATATGATTCTCTCTGGTTTAATTCAGTTTACACTTTTTGTTGTATTCCTTTATACCACTCTACCACATTTAATTAGACTCTCCTGTTGCTGATAAATAAAGAAAGAAAAAAAAGAAAAAGAAAAATAGGCTGGGCATGGTGGCTCACACCTGTAATCCGAGCACTTTGGGATGCTGTGGTGGGTGGATCATGAGGTCAGGAGATCGAGACCATCCTGGCCAACATGGTGAAACCCCATCTCTATTAAAATATAAAAAATTAGTTGGGCATGGTAGCATGTGCCTATAGTCCCAGCTATTCGGGCAGCTGAGACACAGAAATTGCTTGAACCTGGGAAGTGGAGGTTGCAGTGAGCCAAAATTGTGGCACTGCACTCCAGTCTGGCAGCAGAGCAAGACTCTGTCTCAAACAAAAAAACGAAAAGGAAAAATAATGTCAGATTAAAAGGGGCTTTTGTTTAATCAGTTTGTATCTGTGAATATTTACTATATGAGAGTTTAAGTCTGAGAAGTTCAGAATGCAAGCATGCACCACTATATTTTACAAATGACCTTAGAACTATGACTCATGAGCCTTTAGCTTATGAAGTTACGACAATTCATTTCTCTAAAGAAGTTTACTGTTCTCTTAAAAAAAAAAAAAAAAAATAAAAAAACAAATGACATTGTCTTATTTGACCTCTTGGACATCCTCGAATAAAAGTGCAACTTACTCATGTCAAAATTCAGAACCAATGTTTTGAACAATATATAGTTTGTGAATGAGCCCTTGATGATGAAATGGCCTTTCAAGTTTTGCTTTTGCATTTTTTGCTCTTTTTGACTTGTCTTAACAAAAGCTTAAAATCAACAGTTGTATTTCTATAGAAAGCAGGAATATAATTTTGTAATATATTTCTGTCCTGTCTCATGGCATTGAGAACTCCTCAGATCTAGTGTGGACCTAGACTTATTTTTACATGGGAACAATTAGGTTTGTTGCTTTGTTGTTGTTGAAATAGAGTCTTGTTCTGTGATGTGGTTCAGAGTGGATAAGCTCTTAAAGCAGTAATCTTTCCAGTGGTTCTTTCTGTGGGAGGTAAAATTGCAGGCGAATTTAGGCCTTGTTATATGTAGGGCAGAGCACATAGCTACAGCTAAGTAAAACACCCAGCAACTTCTCCAAGAGTATTGGCCAGAGTAACACATTAATATCTCCTGAGCTCTTCTCCACTGGCAGCTGGAAAGTTTTTGCAAGCATCCCTGTTTCTGGTCTGATTCCTATGTTTTGCTGATTTGTGGTGATAGGGTGTTTTATTGTAAACTGAGCAGTTTTAACTGAAGAGCTAGAGAGAATGTGTTATGTTACAATGAAGTAAGTGCAGTAGATCCCCCTTAACTGTGGGAGATACATTCAAAAGCCTCCAGTAAATTCCTGAAAGCACAAATAATACTGAATCACTCACTGTTTGTTTTTTTTTTTCTGTACTTACATATCTATGATAAAGTTTAATTTATAAATTAGGCACAGTAAGAAATTAACAACAACTAAAAATAAAATGGAAAATTATAGTAACATGCTGTAATAAAAGTTATTTGAATGTGGTCTCTTAAAATATATGGTATGGTTCTCACCGTTTTTCCTGTGGTGATGTGAAGTGATACAATGCCTATGTAATGAGATAAAGTGAGGTGAATGATGTGGGCATTGTCATGTAGTGTTAGGCCACTGTTCACCCCCTGACTCTAAGTCAGAAAAACAGATGATCAGCTTTGAGTGTTCCTGGACCTTCAGGCCTTAATGATGTTGACGGCTGGATACAGGAGACCATGTTAATGACTAAAGGCTGGACAGCACATGCAGTGTGAATGCACTGGACAAAGGAATAATTCATATCCTGAGATGGATAGAGGGCAAGAGCTCAAGATTTTATTGTGCTTCTCAGACTGGCATGCTAACACTTATGACTTGTTTATTTCTGGAGTTTTCAATGTAATATGTTTGGAATACAGTTAACTGTTAGTAGTTGTAACCACATAATTCACAACCGCAGATGTAAAATCTGTGTTTGGACTTTGACTAATTTCTCGGTGAACAATTCTTAAAATCCTTAGAATTTCCAAAGTGATGTCTTTTGGTATGCTAATAATTGATGGCTGGAAGCTCCTAGGTAGATTCAGGATGGGAACTGGTCACCATCCTGAAGACATGACTGATTAGAGGGTTGAGATCTTTGGTCTCACTCTGCAAACTCTGGGGAGGAGAGAAGAGCTGAAGGTTGTCAGTCACCAACAGCCAGTGATTAATTGGTGATGCCTATGTATTGAAGCTTTCATAACGACCCAAAGGGACTGGGCTTGGAGAGCTTCCGGATCACTGAATACATGGTGGTTCCTGGAGGGTGGTGTGTCCTGAGAGGGCATGGCATCTCTATGCCACTAGCCCCATACTTTGCACTATGCATCTCTTCATCTTCAATGACATTACCTTTTGTAATGTCATTCACAGTATACTGGTGAGTGTGTTTCCCTGAATACTTTGAGCCATTCCAGCAATTCAATTTAACCCAAAGAGGGAGTCCTGGGAACCCCAATTTGAAGCCGATTGGTCAGAAGTTCTGGAGTTTCAGACTTAAGACTGATGTAGGGCAGCAGTCTCATGGGACTGAGCCCTTTACCTGTGGAATCTGATGCCATCTGCAGACAGAGTGTGAGAACTGAATTAGATGACGCCAAGTTTGTGTCCTCTGCAGAAGTGATTGCTTGCTTTTTGGTGGGGAAAACCTCTCCACACGTTTGGTCACAGACGCCTTCTTTGTTGATGATTGTTTCTGTGGTGTGAGAGCAGAGAAAAACATGGCAAGTGTGTCTTTTCCACACATATAGTGGATAAGGGGTACTACTGTTTACTCTGTTTTAACTGCACCCACCCCCCTTACATTTTGGTCCAGAAATCATGCTGTTTGACACTGGTTACTCATTCCATCTGTTCTGCTAACAATACCATTTTTAGCCAATTTCATAGGGTTTGGCTGGGATGACTTATATACTGTAGTTCACTTGTAGATATCAAATTTTGGTAAATTTATTCTTTGCATTTAATAAATACAAAGTAAGGGAAGTAAGAGTTCTTACTGCATTAATTACATACCAATAGGTATAATTTATATTAATTTTAATAACGTCCCAGGTATGCTCCCAAAGGAATGCTTTGTAACAAAGCATCAGTCCTATACTTTAAAGAAAGTGATCTAAATCATGTAACAAAGCATCAGTCCTATACTTTAAAGAAAATGATCTAAATCATGTACATAACTGTGCATATTTTTTTTTTAAATGAAGGTAGAGTCTTGCTATGTTTCCTAAACTGGTCTCAAAATTCTGGGTTTCTCAAATGATCCTCCTTCCTCAGCCTCCTAAATAGGTGAAATTACAGGTACCCTTCACTGTACTTTCTAGTGGTTTTAATATTCTATACATTATTGATTTAAAATGCATTTTACGTTTTCTGTTAATAGATTCTGGGAGTTCTGATGAATCTGCAGTCAGGTAGAATTTTACAGATTTAAAAAATTATGTTAACTAAGAAAATATAGATGGAAGAAACTAATATCTATTGAGTGTTGTATTCTGGGCTAAATACCCTATTATGTGCCATGCATTTATCTCATAAAGCTATCACAACGTCTGTTTTCTTATAACCTACTGTTTTTTAAATGGGCAACTGTGGTTTAGAGAGGTTGATTAATTGGACCATGATCCCATAGTTCACAAAGTAGCTGACCCACAGTTTGACTGTCAGCCTATCTGGTTTTCAAATCTTTTCTCTTGCTCCTTAGTACAGATTGATAGAACTATCTGTGCAGCACTTTGGTCAAGGTATAGGTCTAAATAAGATTAGTCAGATTAATTATTTAATTAATGTCTAAATTAATGAGTTTAAATAAGTTAAACTCTCATTTTAGATTACCGTTAGAAATGAGGTTAGTCCTTGAGTTTGTCCTAATAAATTCGACAATTTCTGTGATAACCAGCATCTTTTTTTTTTTTTTTTTTTTTTTTTTAAATTAACCATCAAAGCCTTTAGGGCAGAGTAAAGGTTTGGCCATAGGACTGGAAGTTTTACAAAACCAAGATTTGTCAAGTCTTGGAGAGAAATTATTTAACTTCCCAGTTTTGTTTTCCCTGTAGGCTGGTATTTCTGCCTACTTCCATAATGTTTTTTTTTATTTTTTATTTTTCTTTTTCCATGACTTTTCTTCCTTGGTGTTTCTTTTCTTATGTTTTCAAATTCTGCTGGCTATGTATTCCCAATATTCCTATAGACAGAACCAAAAGCACATAGAATTACAGAAATTTAAGGGATCTTAGGACTAATTAAAATATCTCCTAGTACTTCAATCTGTGTTGAATGTTCTGGTCAAATGATTTTCTAGTTAGAGAACTTGAGACTCAAAGAGATTAGGATGCTTTTTTCGGACATAAGACATAGTAGAAATGAGATTTGAATTGATCTTAAAGGCCAATACTCTTCTTTCTTTTTATATTCTATTGGCATGTTTTTTGTTTGTTTGGTTTTTTCTTTGAGACAGAGTTTTGCTCTTGTTGCCCAGACTGGAGTGCAATAGCACGGTCTCGTCTCACCACAACCGTCGCCTCCCAGGTTCAAGCGATTCTCCTGCCTCAGCCTCCTGAGTATCTGGGATTACAAGCATGCACCACCATGCCCAGATAATTTTGTATTTTTAGTTAAGACGGAATTTCTCCATGTTGGTCAGGCTGGTCTCAAATTCCTGACCTTAGGTGATCTGCCTGCCTTGGCCTTCCAAAGTGCTGGGATTACAGGTGTGAGCCACCATGCCTAGCCTGGGATGTGTTTTAATAATACAAAGGGGGAGTCTGGTACACCCAGTGGATAGAATGAGAATGGAATTAGCTGATGAACCCAATGGAAATGGCTAAGAATCGAATGAGCAGAGGAAGGCCAAGTTTGAAGAGCAATGACACTGGATACGAATTATTCAATAGAGATTAGAATATTGGGGTTTATGACAAGTTGATAAATTATAAAGATGAAGGACACAAGATATTGGGAATTATCTACAAAGGCACATTAAAATAGAGGGTTCAAGGAAGCTCTAAACAGATTGTTGTGTTCCTTTTAAATCAAGAACTGACAAACTTGAAGATTTTTGCTGTAAGATGCTAAAACATTTGGAGACACTGGGAGGAGTCTCTACAGCAGACAGAAATGTGGTATCATCTAATTCCATCCTGACTTAGAGAGGGGTGGCTTAGAGCCCCTTGAGTACTGATGGGCTGGAGATTGCTGAACTACATAGGTCTGTGGGCCAGGGCAGGTATCTCCTCATTCCTGCCTCTTTTCCCAATTCACTGATGTCCCTCCCATATCCCTGTAGGCCAGGGGCATCATTGGCTGTCAAATCAGTCATGAAATTCAGCTGGGTAGTTGGAGGTATGTCTGTGCTGGTAATTAGTAGAGACTCCAGTTAGGTTGTTATTCAGGAGGGGGGATATTGAGCACTCCCACTCCTGGTCATTTGAGGCCATCCTTTCAGGAATCTGTGCTTTCATTGAAGATTGGAAACTGCCATGGAGCCTGGCATAAGTGGAATCTGGAAGTGGAAACCAGCGGGAAGAAAGATATTTAGATAGTACTTAGGGAAATAGAGGTACAACTGCCAGGACTGTGTTTTTCCAGCAGTCTCTCTTGTTGGATATCTGAGTGCCTATGAAGGTTTTTAAGGGCTTTCTAGTTTATGCGGACCTGAATAAGGTAGGACCTATAGAGTGAAAATAATTGGATTTTTATAATTGTTAATGTGTTAATCTTTCTGGGAAGAGTATCCTCAATAAGAAAGTTCACCTTCATTATTAGACTTTTGTACATTTAACTCTCACACATTTCAAATACAGCAGGGGATTCTCCATACTCTTTTAGGACAAAAGAAAGCATTGGGACCTTCTTAAGTGGTTTTCATGCTGAGGAATCAAAACTGCTACTTTGAAGTGACACAGATTAGTCTTTTAACCACAGATAGATAATGGACAAGATACAGTGAATCTTTCTACCTTGTTTTAGGTCATAAAGTTCCTTCTAGTTTAGGTGACAAAAGTTATGTCATCCATTAATTGAATTTCATATTCTGCTTCAGGACAGATAATCTGTGATGGTAAATTATTGTCAAGCTCTGCCAATATATTGGTTGTCACTATTTGTTATGGAGTTCAAGGTCAGTTTTCATTGTATATTTTATAGATTTAGGCAGCTGGAGGCAGAAATAGGTAACCAAAATCTATTTTTAGAACAGAGGCCATATTTTAATTGTATCAAGAAATGTTATTTAATATACAGATGGCTGACCGTTTCCCAGATTGTGTTTTTGTTTTTTGGAGGGGGAAGCTGAATATAAGCTGGCAGTTGAAAAATTAAACAAAATCAACTTGTTCATTTTTATTATATATTTTTGCTCTAAAGCGTTTTCCACAAACTGTGTGTGGATTCATGCCCTAAACCAGATGATGAAGACTTGACTGTTACCACCAAGGTAAAGTGGTCTCTTGTAAAATTTCCTCACTCAGTCAGCTTTCGCATAGTATTTACTTTCTTGAAATTTAGCAGTGCTTTACCTATTATTGTTTTATGATGGCTATGGAAAGTTGGTCAGAGAAAACCATAGACATATGACTAGTTGATTAAAAAATGTATTTAATATTGGTAACTAACAAAAGATTGATAAGTGCTGTGATAGGGAGGGGGCTGAACAAAAATGAACTGGAAGATACATAGCAATAGAAAAATCACATTAGGAAATGCTTTCCCCAATAGAGAAAATATGAAATTTGGTTAAAGTTTAATTCGATAAATATTAATACTTTGAATTTTAAATCATACTAGTGTGACATCTATATTTTTACCAGTATAAATCTTCAGTGGATCAAATTACTTGTGGTAATCATGGAATCTCCCTAGCACCTTTCAGTTAAAAAACTGTACAACAAATAGCATATAGCTGTTTTTCTTGGACACTTATTATTTGGGTATTATATACTTTTCAGGAGAGATTGTTCCTCTACTTATGTTATTGGTTATGTAGTGAGACTAAAATAATCAAAATTGTAGAAAAAAATAGCTGGGTGTGGTGATATACACCTATAGTCCTAGCTACTTCGGAGGTTAAGGTTGCCTGAGCCCAGAAGTTTGAGAACCACCTGGGCAGTATAACAAGACTGCATCTGATTTATTTATTTATTTTTTAAAATTATGCTAAGTTCTGGGGTACATATGCAGAACGTGCAGGTTTGTTACATCAGTATACATGTGCTGTGGTGGTTTGCTGCATCCATCACACTGTCATCTACATTAGGTATTTCTCCTAATGTTATCCCTCCCCAATCCCTCCACCGCCTTCTATCCCTCTGTTACCCTCCCCTCCTCCCAACAAGCCCTGGTGTGTGATGTTCCCCTCCCTGTGTCCCTGTGTTCTTATTGTTCAACACCCGCTTATGAGTGAGAACATGCAGTATTTGGTTTTCTGTTCTTGTTTTCTGAGAATGATGGTTTCCACTTTTATCCATGTCCCTACAAAGGACTTGAACTCATCCATTTTTATGACTGCATAGTATTCCATGGTGCATATGTGCCACATTTTCTTTATCCAGTCTATCATTCATGGGCATTTGGGTTGGTTCCAAGTCTTTGCTATTGTAAACAGTGCTGTAATAAACATACATGTGCATGTGTCTTTATAATAGAATGATTTATAAACCTTTGGATATATACCCAGTAATGGGATAGCTGGATCAAATGGTATTTCTAGTTCTATATCCTTGAGGAATTGCCACACTGTCTTCTACAGTGGCTGAACTAATTTATACTCCTGCCAAAAGTGTAAATGTGTTCCTATTTCTCCACATCCTCTCCAGCATCTGTCGTGTCCTGATTTTTTAATGATCACTATTCTAACTGGCATGAGATGGTATCTCAATGTGATTTTGATTTGCATTTCTCTAATGACCAGTGAGGATGAGCTTTTTTTTCATCTTTGTTGGCTGCATAAATGTTATCTTTTGAGAAGCATCTGTTCATATCTTTTGCCCACTTTTTGATGGGGTTGTTTTTTCATGTAAGTTTAATTTCTTTCTAGATTCTGGATATTAGCCCTTTGTCAGATGGGTAGATTGCAAAAATTTTTTCCTATTCTGTTAGTTGCCAGTTCACTCTAATGATTGTTTCTTTTGCAGTGCAAAAGCTGTTAAGTTTAATTAGATCCCATTTGTCTATTTTGGCTTTTGTTGCCATTGCTCTTGGTGTTTTAGTCATGAAGTTCTTGCCTATGCCTATGTCCTGAATGGTATTGCCTAGGTTTTCTTCTAGAGTTTTTATGGTGTTAGGTCTTATGTTTAAATCTTTAATCCATCTGGAGTTAATTTGTGTATAAGGTGTAAGGAAGGGATGCAGTTTCAGCTTTCTGCACATGGCTAGCCAGATTTCCCAACACCATTTATTAAATAGGGAATCCTTTCCTCATTGCTTGTTTTTGTCAGGTTTGTCAAAGATCAGATTGTTGCAGATGTGTGGCATTATTTCTGAGGCCTCTCTTCTATTCCATTAGTCTATATCTCTGTTTAGGTATCAGTACCATGCTGTTTTGATTACTGTAGGCTTGTAGTATAGTTTGAAGTCAGATAGCATGACGCCTCTAGCTTTGTTTTTGTTTTTGTTATTGTTCTTTGTTTTTTTTTGCTTAGGATTGTCTTGGCTATGTGGGCTCTCTTTCGGTTCCATATGAAGTTTAAGGTAGTTTTTTCCAATTTTGTAAAGAAAGTCAATGGTAGCTTGATGGGGTAGCATTGAATGTATAAATTATTTTGGGCAGTATGGCCATTTTCACAATATTGATTCTTCCTAACCATGAGCATGGAATGTTTTTCCATCTGTTTGTGTCCTCTCTTATTTCCTTGAGCAATGATTTGTAGTTCTCCTTCAAGAGGTCCTTTCATCCCTTGTTAGATGTATTCCTAGGTATTTTACTCTTTTTATAGCAATTGTGAATGGGGGTTGACTCATGATTTGGCTCTCTGTCTGTTATTGGTGTATAGGAATGCTTGTTACTTTTGCACATTGATTGTGTATTCTTAGACTTTGCTGAATTTGCTTATCAGCTTAAGGAGATTTTGGGCTGAGATGATGGGGTCTTCTAAATATATAATCATGTTGCCGGCAAATAGAAACAATTTGACTTCCTCTTTTCCTAGTTGAATACCCTTTATGTCTTTTTCTTACCTGATTGCCCTGACCAGAACTTCAAATACTATGTTGAGTAAGAGTGGTGAGAGAGGACATCTTTGTCTTATGCCAGTTTTCAAAGGGAATGCTTCCAGTTTTTGCCCATACAGTATATTATTGTCTGTGGCTTTGTCATAAATAGCTCTTATTTTGAGATATGTTCCATTGATACCTCGTTTATTGAGAGTTTTTAGCATAAAGCGCTGTTTAATTTTGTCAAAGGCGTTCTCTGCATCTATTGAGATAATCATGTGGTTTTTGTCTCGGTTCTGTTTATGTGATGGATTACAGATTTGTGTATGTTGAACCAGACTTGCATTTCAGGGATGAAGCTGACTTGATCGTGGTGGATAAGCTTCTTGACGTGCTGTTGGATTCAGTTTGCCAGTATTTTATTGAGGATTTTCCCATCAATGTTCATCATGGATGTCGGCCTGAAATTTTCTTTTTTAGTTGTGTCTCTGCCAGGTTTTGGTATCAGGATGATGTTGGTCTCATAAAATGAGATTCCCTCTTTTTGTATTGTTTGGGATAGTTTTAGAAGGAATGGTGCCAGCTCCTCTTTTTACCTATGGTAAAATTGAGCTGTGAACCCGTCTGGTCCTAGACTTTTGTTAGTAGGCTATTAATTGCTGCCTCAATTTCAGACCTTGTTATTGTTCTATTCAGGAATTTAACTTCTTCCTGGTTTAGTCTTGGGGGGTGTATGTGTCCAGGAATTTATCCGTATCATCTGATTTACTGGTTTATTTGCAAGAGGTGTTTGTAGTAATCTCTGAGTGTAGTTTGTATTTCTGCGGGATCAGTGGGGATATCCCCTTTATCATTTTTTATTGCATCTATTCTTCTCTCTTTTCTGTTAATCTGGCTAGTGGTCTATTTTGTTGATCTTTTCAAAAAACCATCTCCTGGATTCATTGATTTTTTTGAAGGGTTCTTTGTGTCGCTATCTCCTTCAGTTCTGCTCTGAACTTAGTTATTTATTATCTTCTGCTAGCTTTGGAATTTGTTTGATCTTGCTCTCTAGTTCTTTTAATTGTGACAATAGGGTGATGATTTTAGATCTTTCCTTTCTCCTCATATGGGCATTTAGTGATGTAAATTTCCCTGTAGACGCTACTTTAAATGTATCCCAGAGATCCTGGTACATGTGTCTTTGTTCTTACTAGTTTCAAAGAACATCTTTATTTCTGCCTTCATTTCATTATTTATCCAGTAGTCATTCAGAAGCAAGTTGTTCATTTTCCATGTAGTTGTGTGGTTTTGAGTGAGTTTCTTAATCCTGAGTTCTAATTTCATTGCACTGTGGTCTGAGAGACTAATTGTTATGATATCTGTTCTTTTATTAAAATTGCATTTTAGGTTTTGGGGTACGTGTGAAGAACATGTAAGATTGTTGCATAGGTACACACATAGCAGTGTGATTTGCTGCCTTCCTCCCCATCACCTATATCTATCATTTCTCCCCATGTTATCCCTCCCCAACTCCCCACCTCCTGCTGTCTCTCCTCTGTGTCCCCCCCACAGACCCCAGTATGTGATGCTCCTCTCCCTATGTCCATGTGTTCTCATTGTTCAACATCTGCCTATGAGTGAGAACATGCGATGTTTGATAGTCTGTTTTTGTATCAGTTTGCTGAGAATGATGGTTTCCAGGTTCATCCATGTCCCTACAAAGGACACAAACTCATTGTTTTTGATGGCTGCATAATATTCCATGGTGTATATGTGCCACATTTTCCCTGTCCAGTCTATCATCGATGGGCATTTGGGTTGGCTCCAGGTCTTTGCTATTGTAAACTGTGCTGCACTGAACATTCGTGTGCATTTGTCTTTATAGTAGAACGATTTATAATCCTTTGGATATATACCCAGTAATGGGATTGCTGGGTCAAATGGAATTTCTATGTCTAGGTCCTTGAGGAATCGCCACATGTCTTCCACAATGGTTGAACTAATTTACACTCCCGCCAACAGTGTAAAAGCATTCCTATTTCTCCACATCCTCTCCAGTATCTGTTGTCTTCAGATTTTTTAATGATTGCCGTTCTAACTGACATGAGATGGTATCTCAATGTAGTTTTGATTTGCATTTCTCTAATGACCAGTGATGATAAGCATTTTTTCATATGTTTGTTGGCCTCATGTATGTCTTCTTTTGTAAAGTGTCTGTTCATATCCTTTGCCCACTTTCAAATGGGTTTGTTTGTTTTTTTCTTGTAAATCGGTCTTCCTTCTTTGTAGATTCTGGATATCAGCCCTTTGCCAGATGGGTAGACTGCAAAATTTTTTCCCATTCTGTTGGTTGCCGATTCACTCTAATGACTGTTTCTTTTGCTGTGCAGAAGCTGTGGAGTTTAATTAGGTCCCATTTATCTATTTTGGCTTTTGTTGCCAATGCTTTTGGTGTTTTGGTCATGAAGTCCTTGCCTATGCCTATGTCCTGAATGGTTTTGCCTGGATTTTCTTCTAGGGTTTTTATGGTGTTAGGTCTTACGTTTAAGTCTTTAATCCATCTGGAGTTAATTTTAGTGTAAGGTGTAACGAAGGGGTCCAGTTTCTGCTTTCTGCACATGGCTAGCCAGTTTTCTCAACACCATTTACTAAACAGGGAATCCTTTCCCCATTGCTTGTTTTTGTCTGGTTTGTCAAAGATCAGATGGTTGTAGATGTGTT